GAGAGAGAGAGAGAGAGAGAGAGAGAGAGAGAGAGAGAGAGAGAGAGAGAGAGAGACGCACGAGATGAGTCTCGAAGAGCGATTGTTTCAGGGAAGCACGCGAATGCACGCCCACCTCCGGCCCTCTGCCTGCTGTTGGTTGAAACCAGCAAGGCCTTAGTCGGAGTGGTGAAATACTACGTAGGGGCTGATCACCTATCGTATCGAGGGCAAACGACTAAATGACATCTTGAAAATTGACATGCCGCAGCCTATAGGTGATACCGGCGAGATCCAATCAAATGATTTTTCTTACTGGAAGTCACAGAGGACCTGCAGTACCTGCCTACCTTGAAAGTTGAAAGAGGCTTGGTAAAAAAAAAAAAAAAAAAAAAAAGAGGCTTGGTAACAGGAAAGCACTGGCTACTTCGCCAGTAAACAGGAAGGGGTCTATAAAAGGTATCTGGTTAGCCTAAGCAGGTTTTACTCTGCACAGCCGGTCACCTGAGCCTGAAGGAGCAACTCCCTTGGATCGCGGAATGGATGGGTGTGACCGGAAATCTACGGTATGGAGTTGACCTTTGGATTCACAGTTACTGATTACAAAATAGTGAAATACCCTTTCAGGTTAACTATGATCTTGAAGGTTTTATGCAAAGTACCGGTGGGGGCTACGTATTGATTGGAGCGAAGTGTGTGAGAATTTTCGTGTCTGTGGTGTTGAGTGTGGTGTGCGTCGAGTTGGACGCTCCAGCCTTGCAGGTGTGGGGTGAGTGTGGATATCATGACCGGTATGGTTGCACTTTCGGTCCCCGTGTCCTGGCTGTAGTGGTTAGCAGACTTGGCTCTTGAGGCCGAGGTCGGTGGTGCGAATCCGTGCTTGCGTGGAGGAGGGCGTAGGTGCAGATGTGCAGATCCACAACCACTGTGGAAGGCTCCCGTGAACTGCCGGGCAGCACAGCGTAAAGTATCCCAGAGAAGTGAGCGGGTTAAGTACCAGTGGAGGTTACATATTGATTGGGGCGAAGTGGGCGAGCATTGCCGCGTCCGTGGGTGTTGAGTGTGGTGTGCGTTGAAGGCTCCCGTGAACTGCCGGGCAGCACAGCGTAAAGTATCCCGAAGAAGTGAGCGGGTTAAGTACCAGTGGAGGTTACATATTGATTGGGGCGAAGTGGGCGAGCATTGCCGCGTCCGTGGGTGTTGAGTGTGGTGTGCCTCGAGTTGGACACTACAGCCTTGCAGGGGTGGGGTGGGTGGATATCATGACCAGTATGGTTGAGCTTTTGGTCACCGTGTCCTGGCTGTAGTGGTCAACAAACTTGGCTCTTGAGGCCAAGGTCGCCGGTTCAAATCCATGTTTGTCCGGAGGAGGGCTTAGGCCCCGATGTACGGATCCATAATTAGTAATTACTACTTTATGGGAAACATCGGAATTTGGGTAATCGCATTTAAATTATCACAAACAAAAGGTGACTCCGGGTCCTGCAACAATTGACCGTACCCTGCTTGATAAGCTTCTGAAGCTTCGAGACGCGATAGTCAAAGGAGAATTTGAAGGGCTATAGAACTCATATTCCTTCCCGGCCCCCCCCTTCTCCC